AATGGATGGATATTCCTCTGTAGAGCATCAACTGCGCCAATGCTTTGCTTCAGACATGTACATGCACGCACACATGCTTGACTAAATCCGTCAGTACTGCTTGCCCGTTCACAGGACCAGTAAAGCTGGCTCAACATGCGCCTAGCTGCTTGCTTCATTTGGCCTGATTGAAACAGCAGCAATTTCTTTTCGAGTGCTGCATACTTCAACTTGTCTCACGCTTTTGTGAAGCTGGACCAAACAGCTCTCTACCATCACCCATTGCTGCTGTGCTTGTCTAGTGTGCTCGACGGGCTGTCACACGAATTTGGACCACTTGGATGACATTGAACGCAAGTCCGCAGAACGAGCAGCCTGTGTCGCCTCATGCACTGAGCCTCATGCCAAAAACCCCTTTTAGTAACTGGCATCGCACGGTGCTCAATTGAGCACATGTAAAATGACGCCACATTTTGAAGTCAACGTGTACGGGCAAATTGTCAGTCCATGCACACGCACTAATCTAGCATATTGAGACACACCTAATACTCATGAACGCGTTTTTTACTAAAAGCACGCCAATTCTGCCTCGCTTACACACATCTGCGCGAATTTCATCTCAATCGACCTTTTTAGTCCATCTCTTATCAAAATTTGCAAAGTCATACAACGCAGCTGCTTGCGCTGTTCACAAGAAAGACGATCAACTAACGCAAGATATTGAAAAATAATATCACACCGTCTGCGAACCATTCCAATGAGAACCTGAGGGGTTAATATGCACAATGAGAGCTTTCCAGTTATAGAAGTCTTTCAAGCTGTGGAATCGCAGATGTGGCAATTTAGCTACGACGAAGCCCATGAACGCATCATCCACCCACAGAAAGCGCGTGTAGGCTTCGGCTACGACCAGCTCCGTGAGTACATCTGCACCGACAAACGTCACCGCTCCGCTTGCGTAAGGTGGGTACTGCGGCCACGGAACCTCATATCGAGACACAGCCCACTTATTTTCACTGGCGTCCTCAATCGCACGAATCACACGCTCCCAAATCATTAGTTGTCCACTGAGCAGTTGGCGACGATCCGACTTTGTCAGACCATTCAGGTAATTGAGCACACTCCTCGCGTTGAACACGTAGTCGTCGTCGATGAATAGAAAAACGTCGGATTTGCCTAAAACAAATATTGCACAATTCAATTTCACCTTCGCCACTTCAATTCCACACGCACAACTGCACCTCAGCATTGACTTCAACTTGCAATGACATGCTTCATAAAGCTGCTTTCACAAGATTACAACGCATCTGGCCCATGGTATCGGGCACGTTAGGAAGCGCCAGTAAGTTAGAATAACGCGATTTTAAGGTGTTAGTGTTGCTAAGAGCAGCGTCCACTGTTCTGTGAATACACTGGACACACAAAACCAGCAATTAATTCAAAAAAACTTCTGGCTCCTTCCCCAACCCCTAACCGAAACACACTTTCCAAACAGCACTGTTAATTTCAGAGCTAGACTAAAAACAAATTCATGCAGTTTATTCTTCCGCTTGCCCTTAATTCACGTCAAATGTTACCACCTGATATCGGTGTGATGTATGAAAACGTGCCAAATAGCACAAAGACCTACCTTGGCAAAATGCTGAAGCCCATCGATGGCTCGCTATGAGCTTATAGGTCAGGTTCACGTAGGTATCCACGTAATCGCTAATGATCATGTCACCGAATTCGTCAGCCTCCGCCAACGCTCTCTCTCGAGCCTCGATTGCCCACTGTGCCCATTCCCCTGCCTTGGCACCTGCCTTCTCTGGCAATCGAATGTCGAAGCCGCCATTCATGTGCAACTGCATTTGTGCTCGGAACCATTTGAAGGCGCCCGCATGTGGCCTTGATCCACACGGAAGTCGCTTCGGCGTTGTATTGACTCGATTACGCCACACTGATACCCCCATCAATCACGTAGAACAGCGCTGGTGAAGACCATCGTTTGCTACAAACCCCAAGCTAGTTGTTATTGTGACTCTACTGTGCATAGAAGGTTGTGTCCGAATAATGAGAGGTGTTTGTTCCCTGTAGTTGCTAGTGCCCTGCAATGGTTTGGCATGCATATCCCTCAGCGACACATTCAAGTGGT